GATATATATTGATATATATTGATATATATTGATATATCACAGTAATGATGTATTTTATTGTGTCTCGTGTAATTTACAAACTTAAAAATGGGAGGTGAAAGGGCCTCATAAGTGGAATAGCCTAGGGCCTCTTTTCATCTAAATCTGGCCCTGTCTATCAATCTTACCTGATTTTTTAAAATATTATTTTAATTACAGCAAGAATGGCAAGACAACATGTCACAATGCAAAGCATGAACCTCATGCACAATGTGTATTTCCAACAATATTTTTCAGTCCCACATAAATGGAAGCTTAGTACATGAAAGGATGAGCATCTTCAAAAGAGATACTTTTCTACCCAGAGAGTTGCCAGAGTACATTGTCCCCCTGACGTTGTAAACTGAACCTGCTAACTTTTTAAGCATTATCTTGGTGTCACTAACTTTAAGTATATCATACACTTCTAGGAAAGTGTAATAAACATTACTATAATTTACAAATGAAGGCAGATACACATGTCCCAGGATAATGTAGCAAGATCCAATCTGGGTCAGTCACCAAATTTAGTGGTAAGCTGGTGGCAAACCAACACTCCTGTTGACTGACAAGGGATTCATTTCCCAGGCTTCAATCATTGTCCTGGGTATTGTAGTTGCAAAATTGAATGGGTCTTTGTTCATTGTATATAAGGCTACCCATGAATTTGGGTCTCCCCATCTGAACGGTCACTTGTGTTCTTGCAGTCTGGTGATTAGATTCATATTCACCATTTAAATGTTATCTTTTTGTGGATTTGATTTTTTACAAGATTATTACAATACACAATGGTTCTATAATTGGGAAACTGATCTTCAGAAATATTTTATGTACACGGAAGCCTCATAATTAAAACAATCAGTTGGAATATAAATGGACTTCAATCGAAAAGAAAAAAGGACAAATTTTCAACAAGTTCAAAAATTACAACCACACTCTTTCTATTTAAGAAACATAGAAGGGTACCCAACTCCTGGGCTGACTGGCTTTCTTTCCAGCAGCTCTTTCTCTGCCTTTTGGTACCGGCCATCAAAGGCGAGGCTTTTGTGGGCAGAAGAGCTGTGCTGCAATTGAGAAATGGGCATCAGAGCGGCCAGCTTGAGGGAAGGAGGCTGCTTTCTCCCCTTTCCCTGTTCCTCGTCCTTCCTTCATGCCGGCCTCTCCATTGCAGCACAATGCCCAGGATCCATTAGCCAAGGGCAAGCAGTCAAAGTAGGGCGTGGCAGGGAAGGCTTGTGCAAAAACTCATGGGCCGGGGAAGCGAGTTGAAGATCTCAGCTGCCTGGCTCACAGGAAGCTTGCGGAAGCCTCGCTGGATGCTTTTGCGGTACCTCTGGCAGTAATGGAAGGCAGAGACACTGGGGGGAGGGAGAGACGCAATCCCAGCTGCCTGGCTCATTTAAGCAAGTGTCCAGCAACCGTCCATCGGGGAAGGTCTCATCTGCTCACTTGGCATGGTTAAAATGTGAAATCTGACTACCATTCCAATCAGCCATTCCTTTGTTTTTACTTTCATACACACACACATATACTGGTACATGGGTATCAGAAGTGGGTTGCTCCCGGTTTAGACAAGATCAGGCGAACTGGTAGTGGCAGCGGCGGGAGGCTCAATCTACAAGCATGCGCACAAGCATGCACATGAGCAAACCAGTAGTAAAAAATGGAAACCCACCACTGATGGCCATGTAAGGGGGCACTGCAGAAACAAAATATGGTCCTATGAATAGTGCCTAAGAAACTGTCCTCTAAGAAAGTGCCCACTTTATAAACTGTAAAACCTTAAACATAACAATATGTCTGCAGCAGTGTGTCATTCCTTGATGTTCTCAGCTACAGTGCTCTCATAACAATAAAGAACACATTACTGACAGTTCTTTCTTGCAGAAAAATACTACCATACCTCCTCACACTACATACAAAGATGTCAAACCAGAAAAGACTAGCATATAAAATTTATTTTTAAATTGAAAGTAATAAAATATGCTGAAGAATATGGAAACAGAGCAGCAGAGAAACATTTTGGACTAACTCCAACTGTAAAAATGATAAGAGAATGAAGGACACTCAAATTCTCTCCTTATTCATAGAAGTTACAAAATATTTCAATGCCTTTTCTGTGTTCTTCATATTCATGAATTGTAAACAGTTACTGCAATAGGAATTTCATTTTAAATTGTTATTTGACACATGAAAGCTAGTTATATTATCTAATACAGTATCTAACTGAATAAATTTACATTTAACAGCATACCTTATACTGTTCATTTTTATTATTGACTCATTACAGATTTTTATTTCTATATATGAAAAAGCTGTAGTGTAGTAGCCTCCTGGATGCAGAATGGGTCAAATTGCCACAGTCAACTCACTGTGGCCAACTTGTTATTGGACAACTCACCACAGGACAATTTAACAATTCAATTATTTAAAATAAATTATTATTTTTTATTTTTTGTCATTCTCATTTCATTCTGTCCCTTTTTTTAGCATCCTTTCTTTAATGATTATATTCTATCATTTCTTTAATGTTAGTGTAACTCTTGTCCTATAGTGAATTATCCTGCAGCTGGTTGGCCATGGAGAGTTGGCCATGGCATGTTGGCCATGGTGAGTTGGCTGTGGCGAATTGTCATAGTCTCTCCTGACTGATAATCTAATTCTCATGTGACACTTGCAATAACTTAAGCTCGAAACTCCTATTATAGTACCATGTCTGAATATGAAGAACAGAAGAGAATTGGAAATACTTTTCTGCCAGTGACTACTCTGTTTGATTTGGGTTTCCAATAGTTTGAGATGGTTAGGAATGGAGCTATTTTAATTTGTTTTAATAGATCTTATTAGCTATTTCATCTTGTTGATTTTACTGCATTAACATTTGAAAATAATTATAAACATAAATAATAAATGCACCTACCCTTCTCATACGCAACTCTTCTACTGCCTCCAGAAATGTTGTTTTGAAATCTAGTAACTGAATAGAAAGCAATGCTTCTGAGGAGTTTTGTAAGGAATACGCTGCTATTTCTTTATCTAAATCTTCATCCATTTAACCTATGGAATCTAAAAAGAAGTTTTTAATTACTAAATGTAATATTAATATTATTAGGGCCAATGTTTGACTAATTCCCCCACTCCTGGATTAATTGGTAGAGAAAGAATAAAGGCAGAGAAGAAGGGAAGCTCTTGTTGTCACCCTTGATTTCAAACTTTGCATGACATTAACTAATGTGCACAAGGTTTTTGTTTGTTATTCAGATCAAAACTGCTTTTGTATTTGAATGTTGAGGCTTCTTATATAAAAGTGGCCAGAGCCAAAGAAAAAAGTATATATTTGAGTGAAATATATGTGAAAGGAAAGTAGAAACAGATCCTGGGTGAAAATGAAGTATGTGGATTGTAACAAATATACATCAACTCACACTGAAAACTGAGTTTGGGGCAAAAAATGCCTCTAATTTGAAGACCAATTTAACAATCTCCAGACCCAACACTATGACAAGTGTTCCATCAACAAGTACTAAATACTGTGTTAAGATTTTCTTTCTTGTTTGGCAGGTGATACAATGCCCTGAACTTTCCAGAGAACTGAGCACAAGACTCCAGGCACATTCTGGAGAGAGAGAAGTTCCCTGAGGATAGACTCCAGCATAAGCCCAAAAGCTCAGAAGAATAAACCTTTGGTCCTGGTAGCTGATTCAGATTAAATCCTGTATACACAAAACAGTTCAATCTTCATCAACACAAATGTCAAATTAATGGGACTTCAAGAACATATAATATTTAGAAGTTGTTTTCATGTCTCATATTTTAACATAACATAATATTTAACAAAATAATAGATTTGGAAGGGACTTTGGAAGTCTTCTAGTCCAACCCCCTTCTCAAGTAATGATGGAGCACCCACAATTCTGAAGGCAAGCCGTCCATTAATTAATTGTTCTGTTAGAGAATTTCTCATTATTAGGTTAGTTTTCTCATTTCCATTCATTACTTTTTATCCTGCCTCCATATTTAAACAACACTCCTTCCTGCTGATCAATTGGCATATACTAAAACTGAGACTTAATGCCCTTTGGCCCTTTCACTGCTTTTCATTTATTATATTTGTGGGGTTTTCAGGTAAAGAAAAATCTGCCCCTTCCCAAAGCAGCCACATAATTTATCAAAACCAAAGTCACTCCTCAGAATAATCAGAAAGCTACAGGAAAATGGCGAGAAGACGTGTGGCATCTTTGATTTATAAAATAGAGAGGGAGATCAAGGGATCAAGATCAGGAAACAAGGAAAACTACACCAAAATTACAGAGGAAACAGGAAAAAAGGAATTTCTTGTTGAAATTCTGTGTGGAATTTAGTACCAACCGTGCATGTAGATAGCTCCATAATCAAATCAATCATGATTTTATATGCTTATCAGCCTGAAATGCTAACCAGTTTTAGAAGGTACCTTACCATCTATTAAAAATTGTACAATAGTCATAGTACGTAGGTATCAATAACCAACACAAGACTGTAAATATAAAATTACATAAGTCAAAGAAGATGATTTTAAATCATTGGTACTTTTATATGTAAGCAAGTTTTAAAATTGAAATATTTTAAGAACTTGCTGATAATCCTGATGGTCTTGTGTGAGATACTTCACTTCAGTAAATCACCTCTTCCATCTTTATTTTTCTACATTAACATACTGAATGAAGCTTTTATTTTGTGTCCTACTGAAAGTTGACGAATATAGAGCTTGGATAGACACAAACAGAAGTCTTATCTGTAGTTTTGCCTAATCAGTTGATCTCCTTCCTAATGAAGTTACCCCGTTTATCTATGGGGGCATTATATCACATCAAATTGTTTTTGGTTTGTTTGTAGAAGACTTTTAGGTTATGGGAGATTGATCTTGGTATTGAATGCTAGAGCAGTACTATAGAAATATATATATTATAAAATACTGTGTCTGCTGATCAGTATTAATCTGGTTTTTCCCTTTAGCTCTGCATTTTTTTCTACAGTGTAGTCAATATTATTATTGTACTTATTCTAATACAATAATTCAGACATCATGCTCAGCCATAGTTTGTTTAGTTATGATATACTGACTAAAGTACAACTGATGGGTTCACACAATATGCTAAACTATATTTTATTAACTGCAGGAATTGCATTCATACAATGCATTAAACCAAACACAAACAAGTCAAATGATAGCTTGGTGTGATGTGCAAATGTAGCCACTATTAACTGCCTTAGATATTTGAGTAAAAACTGGACAAATATTTTTAAAATAAATTAATTGCTTAGGAAACAAAATTTAACATAAAAAGTAACAATATTTCAAATTAAATAAGCTAACTTTATCTAGAGAGCAAATATTTATTCTGAAAATCAAACAATAATTTACCTTTCCCTGAGCTAATAGTCTGTTGAATACCTGATTTATAAACATATTTCTAAAATGTAATCTCAATATTCTGCAATAGTTAAAATATATATATTTAGCTTTACAAATAAAGCAGCAGTTCACAATATTTTTACCTGATTTTAAACAAATATTATGACCAAGTGTTTTATAATAGAGATGGGTTGCTGCCAGTTCGGCCCGAATCAGCCAAATCAGTAGTAGCAGTGGTGGGAGGCTCCATCCACCCACCCGAATGCTTCTGCGCATGTGACCGCACCCAAACTGATAGTAAAAAAATTAGCAACCCACCTCCGCTTTGTACCTATGTGGAAAAAAATTATAGCATTTAGTAAGTTATCCAATAATGGAAAAACCATTGATCAGATGCATTATCAACTTTCCAAAGCAATGAAATAATGCCTTCTGACAGCAAAACAATTAAAAGTGAGTCACCTCGAAGCAAAATAGGTAACAAACAAGTCTAATAAATAAATAAAATCTAAAATTGATTGGTGTGAAAGATGCCACATTCATTGTCCTTTGATCATATTAAATAAATGATTTATTTGATTATGTTTGCACTAAAGAATGCTTTTTTGCACTTTATTTGAATTACTGGCATATTATTTTGTGTAAAAATATAGCAAAAAGGGCATTTATAAAAAAACATTTTAATATAGCTGTAGAATATATAATTTTAAAGAGAAAAATACTTGTTATACTTTTAGACAATTATTTTCTTGTTACAATTTTTCATTTTACATGAATATAGCAAAAGAAAAAAAAACAGTTAAACTCAGTCCATTAAAATATACCCTTTTATTACCGATTTTCAATTTAGCCAATAATTCATGGTAGAAGTTTTCATTTTACAATGAAAATGCATTATAAAAATATGTTTTACCACACCCATAAGTACTGTGTATGTTTTCATATATTTAAACAACACTTATTAAAAAATACATATTAAATAATCTGCACTAGAAAGTAAAGCAGTAAGCCTGATAGGGGTCAAGGTAATAACACAGGATGGACAAATTATACTGTCATTTCACTTAAATTATTTAAGTTATTTAATTTGACCTGTAGATAGACTCTTGTCATCTCATCATGCCTGACTTTTAAGTGGGAGGTCTTCACTCGTGATGATCCTTTAATGGAAGCAAAGCTTTCTCCATTTAACCCATGGTATTATCAATCATGTACAGGGATAAATGAGCCAGTAAGATTTTGCCAGTATCACAAATGACACGGTGACCTGAGGCCAACATCTTTATTTGCTTCTCCAGTGATTCACTTCAGCAGATATTAACCAATTTTATAATCCATGAAAGGCAAAATTAAAGGACACCATCCATAAAACAGAATAATTCCTATCAGCAACAAAGTGATGTCTGTATTATCTTATAAATTATATAGCCATATAGTGTGGAAATGTAATGAAGTAAAGATGGTAATAATCAAATGCCTAGGGCAAACGCTAATATGCATTTAATCACACAGCATGAAACCATTTGTCACTACAGTTGAATGCATGTGTACATAAAATACATGAGTCACGTCCTTATTGTTATACTATAACAGCATCAATTTCACACTATCCTTTTTACTACTATAACAACTAGAAGGATTTGATATTATTTTTAAAAACCAAACTGTACACAATAGGTGTCAGGACTTTAAGTTAGTTTAAAGTGCAAGTTTCATATATTTCTATTAAAAAAACATGTGACATTTAAGCCGCTCACCAATAACTTAACATATTTTCTAAAACATTACGATATCTTGGTACAACTTGAATAAAATCTTATGTGTTTAATATTTTTAATGAATATTTATTTACCTCTCATGGATAACCGCTCATGTCTATAGATTTAAATTGTCAAAGAATATATGTATCGATTTCATTAAACGTGTAGATTGCAATCTTATGTACAATTTTGACTTTTAAAATCCTAACATTTTCAATGTGACCAATGCAGCCTAAGAGAAAGATTCCATCTTATTTTTTAAAATCAAGATTGGAGAAATCTCTAGAGAAACTACATGAATATAGCAATAGCACTTACACTTATATGCTGCTTCACAGTGCTTTACAGCACTCTCTAAGCAGTTAACAGAGTCAGCATGTTGCCCCCAACAATTTGAGTCTTCATTTTATGGACCTTGGAAGGTTGGAAGGCTAGGTCAACCTTGAGCCTGGTGAGATTCAAACTGCTGAACTGCTGGCAGTCAGCAGAATTAGCCTGCAATACTGCATTTTAATCACTGCACCACCACAGCTCATATGTTTATGTTTATTTAACAATGTAATGTTTATGTGACAATGTACAACAATGTGATATTGCTGTATAACACTAATTATAATATTTAGTACAATATATATTATTTACTCTCTTTCAAATATATTGTTTATACTACGCCAAAATTTAAATAAATTTAAATAAGCACCAATTTTACTTCGGATACCTCTGCAACTTTTTAGAAATGCTGTAAGCTCCCTCCTTCTAGGCAACAACCTACCAACTTCCCTAATATAAAATGGCCTGCCTTTTCCTTCACTATGTTTGCGTTTTGTGGCCAAGAAAAAGATAACAAAGTGGACATTCTATCAGGAAGTTCCAAATCTACATGGAAGAATGGAGCCAAGCTACGAATGTGC